ATTATATTGTTACTGGGCAAAACTGAGGACTGAGGTCCCTCGAATGAAATACTAGTGATTTTCCCATAGTAATCCACTACAATATAGCTCAACTAGTAAATTGCGAACGTAAGGCGAATCTTGGCTCTAAAATTACTCATTGTTCGTTCAGTGTTCGCACCCGTTTCCTTGGCACCCATCCCCTCTTCGATCCGTTCATTGTTTATCTTCTTTTCTGCTGCCTTTCCCATTGAGCAGGGAAGTGTACAAAACTCTTTATTCTGTATTTACCCGTAAATTTTACCCGTAAGTTACTCGTAAATTCAATTCGCGATTAGTCAATCGAGCCTTCGTGTGGGTATTTTCATTAGGGATCTGTGATTAACATAAATTCACTTGCAGTTTCGTGCCAGTGTTTGTGTTTTGTGTTTGCGTTAACGATAGATACTTGATAAGGTGAATAAGTAATTGTTGTTGGTTAAAGTAAGTTGCGAATCGCACTGGAAACGGATCAGGATCGACGTTACCGCCACCATACAACAACCCTATTAGAACCAGCGCCTCTAGCGACAGTCCTCGAAAACCTGCCGTTAGTCTACAATACGGAAGCACGAAGCCTGCATCGACTGGCGTCAGACACCAATGACTCGTCATCGTCTGGTATTCAGTTACTTTATTGTGGTGTCTCACGTTTCGAATCGTTTATTATCTCATTTCGATTACTATTATTAATTCAGACGCCGTCAACATAAAGCAACCTTTCAAACGAGGACATATACGCCGAAGTTCATATGAATCAGCCCAAATCAAGTTGAATTACAATCGGTTCGGTAGTCATTACCCTCAGACTGCTAAGGCAAGGGCGAACAGCTTGAACAGGTTCGTATTTTATTGGAAGCTTCTTCATCATTATTATTGCCGTTATTATCGTAATTGTTGAATGTGAATTTTAAAAATGTCTCATTATATTTGATTATTGTTATCATTATGTTCTATTTATCAGCTGGAACGTGTTCTCAACAGTGATATCTAGAGAAGGGTGGGGAGTGATGAGGCATGAGAATGCGAAAAGGAGAGGAGCAGAGGTGATGGTGTGTCAGTCACAAAATTTCCGGTTTAGTAATTTTTTCGAGAGAGAGAGAAAGGAATTTAGAACTGGTTTTGAGATATATTTGGATAGAAGTGGGTTGGTTGGATTGATTGATATAGGCATTGATTGATTTGCTGATCAAATGTTATCAAAAGATTTGTTGTTTGTGTTTGTTTACTTCGCGTAAATTTATTTGCGCGTGAATAATTTTTATTGTTTTAGTTATTGGATATTATAATTGATATATTAGTAGAATTAATATCGTTCAGATTGGTTTTGCTTGAGTNGGGTCTAGCCTAACATAGGGGACGTCAAAATTGTAGTATTTTTGTTGAGTTAATCTGATGTGATGATAAAGTTAGTCTAGGGTTAGGTTAAGTTGTATTGCTTGATTTTATGAATGCGATGTTTCGTGTGTTGTTGTGGAAAGTTCACTTTATTGATTGGTTAATAATCATAGACTTGATCCGTTGAAGATTAATGTGAAGATATGTAACTTAAAGAGGTTGTATTAAGTTGTGCATTTCANAGTTAATCTGATGTGATGATAAAGTTAGTCTAGGGTTAGGTTAAGTTGTATTGCTTGATTTTATGAATGCGATGTTTCGTGTGTTTTTGTGGAAAGTTCACTTTATTTATTGGTTAATAATCATAGACTTGATCCGTTGAAGATTAATGTGAAGAGATGTAACTTAAAGAGGTTGTATTAAGTTGTGCATTTCAGAGCACTTGATATAGGTGGTGGTGGTGCTGGTGTGCCAATGTTGATAGACTATTCGTCGGGCAAATCGAAAGCAGAACAAATATCAAATGGTTTCGAGAAAGTTATTCGGACACAAAGTGGTGCTGCTGCTGCATTGCGACGCGATTTTGGATCGTCGTTATCGTCATCCTCATCGTCATTCTCATCACCATTCAGAGGGGTGAAACGATCCCAAATCGGAGGGTATGATGCCGATGGCTTAGGCTTAGGTTCTGCGTTTGGTGGTAGTAACGTTGACTGTGATGGCATTAACACTCCCTCTGATAAGGACAGCAGCACGCCATATGATTATTCGTGCACAGTGAAAGGTACGTTGGGAGATATTGAATTAATTGTTTTTTGTTATTAATCGAATTTACAGATGGTGCTGATGAGACGAGACTGCAAGAGCAACAGCAAACAGCGACAGATTCATCATCATCGTTGTCATTCGTTACGAGCTCGGGAAATGGTAAAGATGCTGCTGATCGAAGACACTTCGAAGTGGAACACTTGGACGGCGGCAGGGCTGACTTAGCCACTCAGACGAAGCATCGAGCTGAGCCTAGAATGGTTGACGAGCGTTTGGTTAGCACAAGAACACAGTCACAGGCAACGCCGTTGTCAGTGTCATTTGCGAACGATTCTGATAATGATAAGTGCACTGATAAGGAGGTTGATAACGCTGATAAAGAGAGCGTAAATTTTTTTGTTGTTGGTTCTAAGAAGACGAAAATGAAAGCGAACGACGATGACGACGAATGCAAAAATAATGCAGAGGCGATGATCAGAAGTAAGAGTGATTTTATGGTGGTGGATGGCAGTGGTGAGTTGTCATTGCCGGCAGATAGTGGTGAAACGATTACAGCAACGAATACGATTGATTCAGCGATAGGTTCGTTTCATTATTATTTTATCATTTTTAGAGGCGAGCAATGAAATGAATAATTTGAATCAGGTGAATCAATGAGTTCGAAACGCAGTTCACTGGATCGAAAGAGTCAAATGTCATCGACAGTGGATTGGATTTCGGATATATCAACGGATTATTCGGCGAAAGGTGATCTGTTCGCTGATGGATGCGATGAGGCAGTGGCGAATTATTACAGTTGTGTGCACGACGAGGATGACTGTTGGAGGCTGGACGACTGCAGTTATGCGGAGTGTCATTCGGATGGCGGTAAAGTGGGTAAATTCGCCGGTATTTTCGGCAATAAAATACCATCATCAAAAAACCAGCAAGAGCAACAACCGAAGAATGTTGCCACAGTAAAATCACCAGCGGCAGCTGCGAAAGCGAATAGCAACAACACTGCAAAGAAACGTTTACCAATACCTAATATCAGCTTACCAAGGTAGATTCCTTTTGTTTATTATTGTTATGATGATAGATAGATCTGTGTTCGCTCTCGATTTGGGAGCAGTTCAATCGATTTGCATGTTATTCTAGACGTTTTCTTTTTCTGACGAATGGTTCGTCATCGCATTATATTCGCGGTCTGCCTAGGGGCCTTTTCACTTCTCTTGTAATGCATTGTGTTATTGGACTAGTGGAACGGTTATCATTCATATGATAATAGTAACAATAATATTAGTACTAGTAGTAATAGTAAAGTTTATTGAGGTCATGGCGTTTCTTCTCATCATCATTGTCATCAAGCGATAAGAGGTCGACGAAGGATGCGAATGTGGTTTCGACAATGGGATTGATTCTGGAAGATCGACCGAGGTGAACGGCATTGAATTATTTATTTGTTGTTTAAAGCATTTGGCAGTGATAGTAATAGTAAAGTTTCAGTAATTTACCAGCGAAATCTGAAGAAGAGGAGGCGAAACATCGAGCGCAGTACTTGGAGTTGATCGAACAGGCAAGGAAACGAGAGGCCAAGGAGGCAAAGGAACGCAAAAAAGCGGCCGATCTGAAGAGACGTCTCGAGGACCAGGCAGCAGCTGCGTGTAGACAGTGGAGTGAGACGATTCTACCGAAGTGGGATGAAATGTTAGTGGGATTGTTATTATTGTTATTTATTATTGTTGTTATTTTTATTTATTAAAGGAAGAATTCAAAAAGGTGCCGTGAAATGTGGTGGCAAGGAATACCATCAAAAGTACGTGGTCGTGTTTGGTCTTTGGTTATTGGGAATGAACTGAATTTAACTGAAGGTTATTTGAGTGATTATTTTTATTATTATTTTTGGCACTTTTTTACTTTGGGGGGTCGCACGCAAGCACGCTCGCGCATTATTGTACGCGAGCTTGCTCGCGTGCGACCCCCCTAAAGTAAAAAAGTGCCTTATTTTTTGTTATTTTTATTATTTTTTAATTTGTATTATTCTTTTAGATTTGTATAATATTTGTTGTTGTCGTGCTCTGGAAAGGATATCGGCGGCCGAGCATGGTGGTGACTCAACGTGCCAACGAGAAGGTGACGATTCAACGGAGGTGATGTCGAAAAGAGTGAATTCAACTGAAGGTGGTGATTGAGTTTATGAATTTGATTCGAAGTTTCATTTGAGGAAAGGAATGTGTGTGGGCAAGTTGGGAAATGAATTCTGTTGAGAATTTTTTGAATGTTGAGGTGGTGCGCTGAAGAGAGCACCGTCGTGCACACCGTCCTCGTCGTCATCTGGATCGTGCTCGAACGAGGGACGGCTCAAAGAAGCAGTATGTGAGTCAGGAGATGTGAAGAATGGCGATCGTGATCGTGATCGTGATCGGGGTAGGGATGTTAATGCTAGGAAGAAGGCTTCGAGAAGGGAGCAGTTCAGTGAGCAGTCGGAGTTGGCGGTGAATCACGAGAGTTCGGTGGAGTTGATCCATTTGGACGTGTCGCGCACCTTCCCCACCCTGGGCATATTCCAGCAAGGCGGACCCTACTACGACCTGTTGTTGCGATTGCTCGGTGCCTATGTGTGCTATCGACCGGACGTCGGCTACGTCCAGTCGATGTCGTTTGTGGCTGCCGTGTTCCTGTTGCAGATGGACAGCCCGTATGAGGCGTTCGTCGCGTTCGCTAACCTTCTCAATCGTCCATTGCAGGTGATTTTGGTGTTATTATTGTTATTGTTATTATTATTATTGTTATTATTATTTGCAGTTAGCGTTTTTTCGCTTGAGGCAACCAGAAATGACGGAGTATTTTATTGCGTATGACCAGTATTTTGATCAAGAATTGCATAAACTGCATACGCATTTCGACGAACTGGATGTGCGGCCAGATTTGTATTTAATCGAATGGTTCGTGATTGGTTTTATTATTATTATTATAATTGGTATTTATTGTTATAATTGAAAATATTTGCAGGGTTTATACATTGTACGCAAAATCATTACCATTAGACGTGACATGTCGTGTTTGGGATATGTTTTTGAGGGATGGCGAGGAATTCCTGTTTAAGACTGCATTGGGTTAACAGTTATTCAGTTATTTATGCGGTTATTTGTTAATTAATTAATTAATTAATGTAATTGTTAGTGATTTAAAGGTATCCTTCGTCTCTATGAACGTCAACTGCTGGAAATGGATTTTGAAGGAGTTGTGCAGTTTTTGACGCATTTACCCGAGACAATGAGCAGTGCCGAATTGTTTCGTAATATCGAACCATTTATGCGTTCGTATGCATCCACTGCAGAAACATCGAAATGTAAACGACGGTTTTTACAGGTTATTATTAGTGGAGTTGTGAGCGAAATGAAGAGAAGTGTGTTAATTGGTGATCAATTAATTAATTAATTGATTGATTGATTCAGATTCTCTCGGATGTGAATGAACGAATCAATCCAAGGAGTTGTTTGTCGAGTGCAGATCTGGTTTGTGGGTATTATTGCGGTGCTGTGGGCAGAGCATCGCACCGGAGATCAGTGGCCAATTTGACAAAGTGCGGACTGGATAGTGGTGATAATGCAAGTGGGAAAGTTAGTAACAGTGATGATAAGTGCTTATCGCAACTCTCGTCGAATATGCAGACAATGAAGTTGAGTAAAAGTTTGAGTGGATTTCTGGGTGAGTGCTTATATGATTTGTTTGGAAGAGAGAGATAATATTAAACGGGATTTTTCGGTGATATCATAGATCGGCGATCGCGATTCGACAGGTCGGCGATCGGCCGTCGAATCGATTCGACGGATCGGCGATCGGCCGTCGAATCGATTCGTAGTGATATTATTATATTGTAGTGATATTGAAGTGATATTATTTAAAGGAGATCTACTGAAGCCACCGTTACCAGCGCACGTAACAAACACTATTAATAATAATAATAACAATAATAATAATAATACGTGTCGTTCATCGATACGTCGCTCACCGACATGTCCATTGACTGCAATAACATCAACTAATAATAATAATAATGCTGAAAAGATCAGTGTTTCATCAAATAAAACAGGTAGTTTTTTGTGTTTGATTTGAATCAAGTTTTGTGAAGGAGATTAATTGACGTTTATGAGGCTTGACTCTTTGAAGATAGTCTTCGTTTATATTGTTTCTAGTTGTTCACTTATTATTATAGTTTCAGGCCAGCCATTCTAACTAATGGACTAGTGGAGATGAGTTTTGAGTTGTTGTGCATGCCTTTTTGTGATTATTGTACTACTTGGATACTGTGTTGATTTGTAAAGTAACAATTATAATGTACACAGCGGTGATTTGATGGTTTCGTTAGTGGAATGGTATTGGAGAGATAGGTTGGTTAAGATTGGTCTGTGCAAGAGATTCTAACTTGCCGACGAGTTAAGGTGGGAGTGAAGATCATCAGATTGATTTGGCTGCGAATAGGCATAGTTGAAATATAGTGGAAATGGACAATCAATGCGTTATGGTTGATAGAGATTAGGTGAGTAGGTAGGTGGGTGGCCGTCGATGCTGTTGGAGAGTGGAATGGAGCGTGACTGGGCACTGCAAGAGTAAAAAGTAGTGGTTTCATATACATATGTGATGGGATATGATCCATTTGCGAATGGAGTTATCGAATAAGATCACTGAAAAATGGACTACTTAAGTGCTGAGTGGATATTGTGATGTGATGATGACGATTTGATTGATTTGTTTCTTATCAACGAACATTTTGATTTGTTGGGGAATAAAGACGCGATGAATAGTTCACAAATAATGTGTGGCTGTGGATGTGGTTCGAGTGTTGAGTGTTCTTCTTAAGCAAGCAAGTGGTTTTAGTATTTGATAACTGATTAACGAACAAGAACGAGGAGATCAAACAACGCAGAAATGTGACCTGACAGAATTGCTTGCTGCATGGCCACCGAAGATCAACCGATCGAGCGATTTTCAATACGATCGACCGAAACTGAAAGCGATTGGTTGATTGGTGAATGAGCGTCGAAAAAAATCAGTCGGTTAGCAGACAGCATCGAGCATCGGCTGAAGAGATTGGCTTGATATTTGATGAGTTTACAGAAGAAGTGATTAGTTGCAAAAGAGGCAAATTCTCAATCGGAAGGGGATTATTCTGGGGCAGTGCTGAGGGGGCATTAATTGAATTTGTGTTGGTTGATATTGCATAAAGGATGGTTAATTGGTCACATTTGAAGCATTTTGTTACGTAATTGCTTTTTTGTTCTTATTGTTGTTTTGTTTATCAAGTATCATCAGTATATGCTATTATTATTGTTATTATTATTATTATTATTGCGATTGTATGTATGTATGTAATTATGTATTCAGTGGTCAAATGTAACGAAATGTACAATTTTAACGTTTTTGCATTCGTTTTTGAGACGATTTTGATTGGGACGAGATTGATTTAATTTGCTTATTTCTTCTTTTCGTTGTTCTGCCGTTTTATGTGACGGACGGGATTCTATTCAAGGTGCTATTTGTAATTGTTGTTGTTGTTGTTGTTATTGTTATTGCTTTTATTAATTGGATTACTGGCTTGCTTGCGTGCTTGTATAGTTGTAATTGTGTGTATGTATATGATTTATTTGATTAACGCGGAGATTTTTGTGTTTTTGTGGAGGTATACATAATGGTTATANAGTGTGGTGCGTGAGTTATTTGGCTTTGGAGTTGAGGATTAAGAGATTAGACGGCGGGCGATTTGATGAGTGCTGCTTGGGTTTTATTCGTGTTGACTGCTGCTTACGATAAACTTTAGTCATCCATCCATTCATCCATAGTCATTATTGTCTTGTTAATTAGTGCTTGAGTTTGTTGCTTATCGTTAGTGCCCCGTTGATTTGAGATTTTTTTTGAGCAGTCCGTTATGTTTCGCTTGATTAGTTGACGATACTTATTGTCATGTATTCTTTTCGGTTACTGTCCGATAATTCCGTCCGCTTTGATTTGATTTTGTTGTGATTGTGAATTGGTTCTGTTGAATTAAGGCTTCGTTGATTTGATTTTTTGTTAACTCGACGGCACAATCAGCTAACAGTTTAGTTGGTTAATATAAATGTAAATGTAAAGGTAAATGTGCTAGACGCGATGAAGTTGAAATCAAGTAACGTTGAATTGATTGTTTGCGATCGATTGCCAACTGACATGAGCATAATATAATATGTAAATGGGAAGCTGAAACTCTTAATGATTCTTGAATTTTTTGTGTGTTATTTGATTTGTTTTATTTCAGATTTTCAAGTAGACTTTTTTTTGTTAGCATTAGTGTATGATGAGATGGCCAGCAGAAGTGATTTGAATTAACATTCTTGTGTTATCAATTGATTATTCAAGTAGAAATATACAAGTGTATCACACTACTTTGTACTGCTACGAGGAGTATTTTTGATATTATCATTATTATGGTGTGGTTTAGCATCATGCATCGTCTGAGCACAACAACAACAACAACCGTGTGGCAGGCACTAAGACGTTGACCTTAAAGAGTGTTCGTTGGCATGATGGGTGAAACGGTTAGGAGTTGTGGTTGGTTGAAGTTGATATGTTGACTGAAGATGAGCTAGCCCTAAGGTTTGTTCGATGACGAGCTTCTGATTGAGGTTTCGAGGCTAGATGATGGCGGTGCGGTGGTATCTAGCCGTTCAATGCATGTATTGTTAAGTGTAATAATGAGAATTTTACGTGCTGAATGGTCAATTACAAAAATATTGAAGAAAATGCTGATAATGATAACGAACAGAGCGCGCAGTTGATAAGAGAAACAAATAGTGATGATATGATACAACTATTATATAGTGATAAGGCATGGATGGATGGATAAAGCCAAGGATAATCAATGTATACAATCGTGGCTTTCGGCTGGTAATATGGCTTCGAGATTCCAGACGCCAATATTAAGAGTTTTTCGTTTCAAGTGTACTTCGTGTGAAGAGTATTGCGGCGGCTGCTGCTGCTGCTGTTGGTGGTGGTGATGACGATGTGTGGGTAGTTGAATATAGTGATTGGGTAATTCGAACTTCCAACGTCTTTGACAAGGCTGTAAGCAAGGCATGCATCAGTTAGAGAGTTGTTCTGATTGGTATGGCTCTAGCAAGAGTTTTGGACGAAGAGAATGATCAAAGCAGATCACCTGCCTGCAGTGATCAGTTTTGATTGATGATAATCGTATTGATATGATATGAATGGAGGGAGTGTTTAGTGATACTAACCGTTTTGCCATCATTACAGTCGTGGTAAACTTTCAAATGTGGATCAATAGTTGTCATTTCGGCCGTTCCACCTGATAAATCAAAATTACCATTTTCATCCGTAAAGCCGACATCCAGTTCATCATCCGGATCGGATCCTTGAAAACACAAATTATGAGGCTGACTACTGACCACCTCTCAGTTGATCGTTTGATTCAATTGATCGTAAGCAATTATAACATTTCAACTGAGACGTGGTGATATTTAAAGACAGTGATAATAATATTCAGCAGCGAATTATGATGACTGAGCAAGAAGTAAGTTGAGAATGAACTGACCAAAGTCATCATCGATTAACTTCACTTTCACGCCAACAGCTGGGTGTTCACCGCATAGAAACGTACCGGTCACCTGTGCAATAGATTTGTTTTTTGGTCATCGTGTTCGTTCAAGAAGAGAGTAAACGAGCGATTAGCAATGTTAAATGGCAAATGAACGAATAGGAGGATAGAGCGGATAAAGCGGGATAAACGTGCTTGTGCACAATAGCATATTGTATGAATCATTCGGCAATATGGCATGGAGAGTAACCGAAAACCTGTGCGCTTGCCAAATCAAGTAAGTAAGTGATCAATAAAGTAAGTGATCGAATTTCAAGAAGACTGCTGCAGATCAGATGCAAGCAAACACTATTATAAGCAAACGTCAGCTGCCAGCGCGCAAAGAAGACTGCCAACGAAACAAGGATGTGGTGATATCAGTGATTAAGGTGATGATAACAGAGAGGCATTAACTCGTATGAGTTACTGCAGTTGAATTTGCTGATTGAATAAATAAGTGAATAATCAATTGAGCACAACTTACATGGTAACTTTGCTGGCCGATATGGCGTTGTCGTTGTGGAATATAAGTGCATTGGACGAGTGCGATCAGGAAACAAGTCAGTGTGGCCCATAAGAGGTTAGAAGTGCTGATCATAATGATGTGTTGTGATCTGTTTGATCAGTTCACTTGGACGGTTGAGTTGAGTTGAGAACGGACGGATCAGTGAAAATCTAAATGAGCTCTTGAATTGTTGAGCAACAGCAGCAGCAAAAAGACGAATAAGAAGATGATCATTACAGATAATAGAATCGTGATCATGATTGCTATCAATCAATCAATCAATCAATCAATCGGTGAGCTGTGGTGATCAGCATGAACAAAACAGATGTTTTGAAGGTATTGATAAAAGAACAAGCAGTTGCCAATAATGGGTTATTGTAAGTAAGTATGGTTGATGGGTATGGTAACTACCATATGTAACAGGTACGGTAATTATCACAGACACATTATATGATTTATTTATTGGTAATATTTGCATGAACTCTTCAAAATAAGATGAATTTGAGTGGACACGATTGATGTATTTAGTAGTATAATACAATTAATTACGAAACGAGGCGAGTAATATTGCGACATCAGGTAAAATTTGCAAAAATGCATAGGATAACGTTTTAGAATAGCGTTAGGACTTGCAGCAGCAGTTTAGTGAAATTCAGTTGTGAAGGTTCGTGGCTTGTTCGATTGATCGGAGAACTTAAACTTAAGCTTAAGCTGTCTGTGCATCGTTCAAATTTTAGCTGGTGTCACCGAAGCAAGAAAGTTGAAGTGTGCACTGGAAAGATTAGAACGAATGATCGATCGATCGATCGATGATCAGCGATGATGACAGTCTTGATCTTCATCCTCCAGTTCCACTTCCAGATTCATTGTGCCCAAATTCATCGCTTTACCCGGCTCAGTTCCATCGAAAATATATTTGTCGGGTATTCGTATAACCCATTTCCTTTGACATGGCTGTAATTATGCTATGATAGGATAGGCTCTACCTTATCTAATAACCTGCAGCAACAGCAGCAACCTACAGGACGGTGAGGTGAACGAGAGAGAGAGAGAGAAGTGTTGCTGCTGAGTGAGAAAAAACAACAAGAAAGGTTAAAGGTTAAATTACTTGTGTGATCAAATGCGAACGACTAACAAATTATTCCAACGTCAAACACTAACACTAACCTTTCCAAAATCCATACAATCATGATAGATACGTAACTCAGGATCGATATTTGTCCACTCACTTGAGTCACCCTTCAAATTGTAATAGCCATCTGTATCCGTATAAGCCGAATCCAATAGATCATCAGGATTTGGTCCTCAAATAGCCAACATTATTTATTCATTATTCATTCATTTACCACCAATTGAATTAGGTGTTTTGCTTGATTAGAGTTAAAAAGTTGAGGGAGCGGGGGGGGGGGGGGGGGGGGGAGGAATGAGCAGTGTTTGTAAACCGATGAGAGAGGAGAACATCGAGTGGAGCTGAGTTAATTGTTCGACGTTATCAAACAAGTACCGTACCGTTATCAGCATCAATCAACTTCACAAGAACACCCTTGGCCGGATCACTGCCACACATCAAACGTCCTTTCACCCAAACGCTTTGCGGTAAAAAGCATACCACTTGATTGGTTATTAAAAGCAACCATAAGGTTAACGTCACTAATAATCGCAGCATCTGTCTAAACTAATTTCATTCGTATTCGTATTCATAATCATTGAAACATTATAAACTAGATGCGCTAGGGCTGAGCTGGGCTGGGTTGGGCTGGGCTGGATGTTGATCGAATCAAAGATAGCAGGTGAGCAGCAAAAGCCACGCAGTACTGATTATTCATTCCCATGAGATTATTCCCAACGTGCAAACGTCCCATGGAAAGATATGGCTTAGGCTTAGCTTAGATTACTCATATAAACATAATGCGGCGTTCTGGAATGAAATGGTATGGATACACATTGAAGTGAATAAAGGTGATGAACAACTGAAATTGTCATAACAGTGATATGATAGAATTGGCTTGGATTGTGATTAAAGGCAAATCGAAACGGATGGATGGATGGATCATAGAAGAATAAATACTAGTGCATTCGATGGCGTATAATTGATTGCGTGAGTAGATGAACGTCGTGAATGAAGTATCGTCAAATTTGTTTATGATCAAATGATATGTCTGATAAGGTGTCTTTGTGAGTTGTTGCTTGATTGCTTGCAGTTGATCTTTAATATCTTGCTTGCTTTATTAATATGGTGGCGGTTATAGAATAACTTGGTGTTGAATCATTAGAGAGTTATTACTGTTGTTGTTATCAATTATGCTTTTATCGTGTTTTTCCAGCACTTTAACATCTGCCCAATTGCTGAATCTCACCTATCAGCGATGACTGCTCGTTTAGGGATGTTGATTGGCAATCATTTAATCAATAAATCAATTGATTACCCTCTGCCACTATCACTAACAATTACTCTTAGTTTTTATCAGCACGTAATCTATGCTCATTGAATACTGCTTATCACGTTAGCAGTACTATTATTGTCATTATTATTATTACTATTATTATTCAGTCTGTTGATAAGAAAATATCATCTGTTAAGCAGTGACGACTCTGATATGATATGCAAGGGGATGAAACTTACAGCGGACAACTCTAGAGTAGTGAAATTGAGTTAGATCTTTAGTGGATCATTTACAGAACAGCGTGAGTGTAAATGTACAGTAGTATAATATGAGCTATTGCGCTGCAAATAGCGAATAGCGGAGTGATTTTGCTTGATCAGCGTTTAGATCATCAATAGCATTTTGCTATTGTTTTGCTGCTGGTGGAACGATCGTTTCTTGATCTCAGCCGCGTATCCATCCATCTCAAACTATAAGTGCAACTTATATATGCAGATTGATTCTGGTTATTGAGCTGCTGCAGCTGACCTTGATTCTGTGTGGCACACTGCGCTACTGCGTTAACGTTTAGAAGTGCATTGTGGCGAAAGGTTTGTGGCAATTCCCTTAATGCATTATAGCCTTGTAGTCCGGTGCTGGGCCGGCCTTATATACGAAGAAAGTTCGAAAATAGGCGATTTATCGAGAGTGCGCCTTATAATCTGGTATACCTGATAGTCCGAGAACTGAGATTACCTGGATTGAACAGGCTATGATACGTTTGTAACGATTGGCCAGGCCATCAAACGTTTGTAACCAGAATGCTATTCCATTCGGTGCTTGATGTTGCCTTCCTTTGTAAGCAGGTATTACCCTGTCAGTTTCTTTGTAATATCGTCGTCTTTGCATCTTACTGCAGAAAACTAGGATACTTTCAAAAATTATGCAATTGATGTGGGTGTGGATATAGGATGTGGTTGGATGTAGACGGTTAGAGAGACAGAGTGGCAAAGTGTTACGTTGCGCTCATCTATTTGGCGGTTGGGCTCGCAGGCGCGTCGTCGCACCATAAGCTGTTCGTGTGGTCGGTCATTAGGTGTTTGTGTTTGTTTCATTTTGTTTATTTAGAACTGAATAATTTTTGTGAATTTTTACTGTTTTGTTTTGAATTTAGCATTTTAAATTGATTGTGAGCGATTCGTTTTAAATATGCAAGCTGATCGCGTTTAAGAAGGGCTCAGTGCGCTTAAGAAAGTGATTGCTGCGTTCTGAAAGATCAGGTTGAAAGTTGAGGAGGTCAGTGAGTTGCTGAACGCGAAATTCGCCTGGAATTCATTTTTGTGCATAAGATGGTATGAATATTGTTTAACCAATTTCATATAACCGGTTGAACTTGTAAAGCAAGAGGTTGACTCATTCAAAACTTTTCGTTTAAATAATTTGTAACAGTCTATCTAAACTACTCGATCATAACCGATATGTAAATACATAAAAGTATGTACATACTAATTTATTTGCACAGCACACGTAACATTATTTTTGTTGTTGCTCACAATAGTAGGTTACCATTCAATAAACGTTTAACTCTCGTATCCTTTGCATTATTTACTTAGTGTAATCCGTTTTCAAAGGTATGTCGAGAGTGTTAGTTAGAATGGCATTTAGATGAGTAAATAATTGAATGAGTGAATTCCTAATTGAATTTCAGCAATCCGATTTGTAGTTGTATTATTAAGAGAGTGTGAGAAGTGGGGTTTTTTTCTTGCAGAGTATAAGTTTTTGAATTCTTCAAAATTGTATGTTCATAAGAGTATCTGTTAAGACTGGTAAACATTATTAATATTATGTAATAATAGTGGTAGTATTTCATTATAGAGACACATTGAGGTGGGTGACAGTACACTCTGTACGATCGTAGATAGCTCACAGAAATTTGTTCGTTCTAATTTGAATCGTATTTATTTATTCATTCATTTATTTGCTGTTTGATGCTTTCTGGTAATTGTGCGCATGCAACTGTGATATCCCGAATTGATTATCAGTGTTTTGAGAGACTTGAGTGAGTTTGAAATGCAGAAAGTATAGTTTTTTAAAGGTTATTGTTTGATCAAACATTCAGTTGTTAGTAAAGCAAATGAGAATTAATTCATTCAGTTTATTTAGTTGATTTGCTTAATAATAGTGCGGATAATTATTGCAGATTTTATTATTAATATAATGTTTGTTAATAATGATAATTTGTTTGTTTAAGAGCGAGAGCTGTACAGATTGAAGTTGAATTGAATAGGCACAAAACTGTTTTGTGTTTTATTTGATATGTTTTGTATTTGATACTGGATGTGAAGCGTTTTTGTATGATGGTGTTTTTTTTGGAACGTAACACGAAGGTATATAGGCAACAATTCATAGATAACGTTTGTTCGTTTGAAATAATCTCACGATCAGTTCATATTTATGATTCTCAGTTTTGATTTGATGTTGTTATTATTATTATTATGTCGCTGATATTATTGTTGTTTTGATTACGGCAACGGGTTGGTCCTTTTGTGATAATAATGATAATAACACAGTGGTGTTATTTTATTATTATCGTTATTGAATATTTGTGTGATTGATATTGATAATATTAAAGCAACAGCGATCGAGATTGCCGATAATATTAATAATAATACTAACAATTGTAATAATATAATATAAATTGGGATTGGTTATCAAGAATGATAGCGGATTTTATTAGTGAATTTCTGCATAATATACCGCATTATTCATTTCGACTACGTGCCGTTCGTGAGTCATTTAATTTACAACATAACAGTGCATATATTGAAGTAAGTTCTCTTGATTCACTGTATTGTTACTGTTATTATTTTGATTATTATTATTATTATTTCTATTGTTGTTGTTAATGGTAGCATTTGTGTGGTTAATGGTTAATATGGTAAATGGTTAATGGTAGCACTTGAAGTAAATAGTTGAGCGTGAAGTGATGATGATTGAATAGGGAGATAAGAGTTAAGTATGTTGATGGATGGATTAGTTGCTGATGAACGTATTGATAGTGTGAGAGATTTTGTATTGATATTTTGTATTTTTTGTTGGATAGATTCGAGTGTTCGATTGTAAAATGAAACGAACGAATTTTGATGTGAAGAAGGGCACGAGGAATTATTGGTTTACAAAAATTTTTTTTGCGTGAAACGACAGAAAATGCACGCAAATTTGTGTTGAACAGGGACGATTACGATGGTGATAGTAAGGACTGAATTGATTGATTGATTGATTGAACGGTTGATTCACAGTGGGTTTATGTTGACTTGTATGGATATATATATATGTGTTGATTTGTTTGGATGTATTTGAATATATGGTTTCATGCATAGATGTATGCATTCGCATTCGTTTTGAGTTTGGTTTAGAATTGAAAATAAGAAAGTTGAGTTGAATAGAATTGATTCAGTGGATCATCATTCATTTGTGTGTGTATTCATAAACGTTATTTAATTTATTGAAGAGGGAATTTGATATGAGGGATAAGGCAAAACCTTTCTCTGCAGATAGGGTTGTGGGAACGGGAAGCGAATGGGGTGTATAAGCAGCAGCAGCAGCAAGGCACAGAAATGAACAGCTGAATAAATGGATTAGAGGAGGGAAAGAGGAAAGGAAGAAGATGCAAACTGGAATAAATTTGATTGAATTAAATTGAATTAACGAGATAATGGCGTGCATTTTTATTCACTAACTGAAAAGGGGAACGCGATCGCAAACCGAACGACGAATCTATTCTTTATTGGATTAGATCATAAATAATGGAAATAGGAAATGAAAACAATTAAATGAATGTGTCGTAGTAATGGTATTTATAGTAGTAAGCGAGGGAACGACGCGGATATATTAACGGATGGATGATAGAATTACATATGGTGATGATGATGATGATGATCCAATCCCCATATATCCACCCATCCNATGGTATTTATAGTAGTAAGCGAGGGAACGACGCGGATATATTAACGGATGGATGATAGAATTACATATGGTGATGATGATGATGATGATGATCCAATCCCCATATATCCATCCATCCATCCATCTATCTATGTATCTGTCTATCCGTCCATTCATCCATCATTTTATCTATACGTGTTCCATTCATGTATATCCATCCATATCCCTTCATTCATCGATCAGTAAGGGCTCGTCACCTAATGCGTTGTATGAAATGAATGAAGCGAATCGAATTGAATCGTAACCATCCAACACAACTAAAGCACTTCAACGTAACCTAACCCAAGCCAGCAGCCTAACC